CCTTGCTAGAGGATGCCCCTCGCTGTGGCTACCAGCAGTGAGATGGGAGAAGCCCACGGGCAAACTCTTGGCCCCAGAGGTCCGAGGCTCTGCTCCCATGGCCATGCCTGGTGACACTTCTTCTCCCCATCCCTTGGAGCAGCCAGAAGCGTGTTTGCATCCACGCTGAGAGACGGAAACCTCACGGCTCTCCCTCTTTCTTCCTTCTCTTTTTTTTTTTTTCCTTTTCCTTTTTAAAATTATCATTTTTTTAAATTTATTTCTACTTCATTTTTTAAAATTTTCCCATTTTAATTTTTATTTCATTTTTAATTTTGGGTTTTTTAAAATTAAATTTTATTTTTATTAATATAATTTATTTTCTTTTTAATTTTAATTTCATTTTTTTAATATCTGTTTTTTCATTATTTCATTCCGTTCTATTTTGGTTCGCTTCTTCATTTTTTGTCAATTCATTTTCATTTTAATTCCTTGACCTTTTTTTTTTTAATTTTACTTTTTTAAAATTTTGACTTTAACTTTTATGTTCTTTCTTTTTTCACTTCCTTTTTTTATATTTTTTATTTCGCATTCTTTCTTTCTTATATTCTCATTTCTTTTTTATTTCTTCTCTTATTTTTTTTTTATTTTTATTTTGCATTCTTTCTTATGTTCTCATTTTTTATTTCTTCTCTTTATTTTTTTAATTTTATTTTGCATTCTTTCTTATGTTCTTATTTCTTTTTTATTTTTTTAATTTTTATTTTACATTATTTCTTATTTTCTCATTTATTTTTATTTTTCTCTTATTTTTTTAATTTTTATTTTGCATTCATTCTTTCTTATTTTCTCATTTCCTTTTTATTTCTTATTTTAATTTTTATTTTGCATTCTTTCTTATTTTCTCTTTTCTATTTCTTTTCTTTTTTAAATTTTTATTTTGCATTCTTTCTTTCTTATTTTCTCATTTCTTTTTTATTTCTTTTATTTTTTTTTATTTTGCATTCTTTCTTTCTTATTTTCTCTTTTCTATTTCTTTTCTTTTTTAAATTTTTATTTTACATTCTTTCTTATTTTCTCTTTTCTATTTCTTTTCTTTTTTAAATTTTTATTTTGCATTCTTTCTGCCTTATTTTCACATTTTTTTATTTCTTCTCTTATTTTTTTAATTTTTATTTTACATTCTTTCATTCTTATTTTCTCATTTCTTTTTTATTTCTTCTCTTATTTGTTTTAATTTTTATTTTGCATTCTTTCTGCCTTATTTTCACATTTTTTTATTTCTTCTCTTATTTTTTTTTAATTTTTATTTTACATTCTTTCTTTCTTATTTTCTCATTTCTTTTTTATTTCTTCTCTTATTTGTTTTAATTTTTATTTTGCATTCTTTCTGCCTTATTTTCACATTTTTTTATTTCTTCTCGATGTCCCTTTTAATTTTTATTTTACATTCTTTCTTTCTTATTTTCTCATTTCTTTTTTATTTCTTCTCTTATTTGTTTTAATTTTTATTTTGCATTCTTTCTGCCTTATTTTCACATTTTTTTATTTCTTCTCTTATTTTTTTTTAATTTTTATTTTACATTCTTTCTTTCTTATTTTCTCATTTCTTTTTTATTTCGTTTCTTCCCTATTCATTCT